TATCCGATTGCTAGAAAGTCATGATGACTTTAAAGAACATGTAATCATGTTCCACCTTCTGGAATATTTAATTGTCTCTCAAAATAGAGTAGGTTGTTCTTAAACTTGAACTTGAAAATATCATAATACTTAGAAGAATTATTCTTGATATCATAGATAAGAAGATTAGATGACATACTTGATTTAATTTGCTTGACAAATGTTGAATCAATGATTAATATTGATTTTATTGCTCAAAGGTGAAAATATTTTGGCTTCAAGAGAAGCATTCTTTATTGATCAAAAGATGTATCTCTTTCTTTTGGTAGAAGATAAGAATGTCTAGAAAGAGCATCCAACAAACCTTGTTATTTTTTTAGATCGATAAGTAATTTTGAAATCAAATCTTGATAATAACATACTCCAATAAGCTTGACAATGATTTAAAATACATGATGATATGAAATACTTGATGTTTTTGTAATTTGTATACATGATGATTGGACTTCAGGCACCTTCTAAATAATAGGGCTATTCTTGAAATGAATCTACGATTGCAAGGAGCTCTTTGTCGTGAATCTCCTAATTAATCTCTGTTGTTGAAATTTTTTTGGAATAGAAAGTTTTCCTTTGCTCTCATTTATAATAATAATGTATTTAAGGTAAAGTTTGATGTATTTGTTTCTATAAAAAATACCTTAGAGAAATCAACATGATATAAGATTGATGCAAAAATAAACTCTTTTTTTAAAGCATCAAATGATACTGTGGCTTCTTTACTCCATTCAAATTTTTCTTTATAAATCAAACGTTTAAGTAGAGCTGCAACTTGAGGAAAATTCTTGATGAAGACTCGATAGTAATTGACAAAGTCTAAAAAATATTGCACGTCTTTTATTGTTCTTGAAATCTTCCAATCTATGATAGTCTGGACCTTCTTTAGATCCATCTTTAGTCCTTCATTAGAAATAATGTATCCTTAGAAGTCAATTTGAATAATGTAGAATACTTTCTTTTTTAGCTTTGCATATAATCTTGCATCTCTAAGTTTTATAACACATGACGAACAAAGACTTTATATTCTTCTATATTTTTAGAGTAGATTAACATATCATTCAAATAATGGATGATAAAATCATCAAAAAACTCACAAAAGACATCATTCATTAGATGTTGAAAAGCAGCTGGTATATTTGTGAGTCCAAAAGGCATGACATTATATTCAAAATGTCCATATCTAATTTGAAATGTAGTTTTCTATTCATCTCTTTCTTTAATGCATATCAAATTATATGCTCTTTATAGATTTATTTTTGTATAAATCTTTGTTTGATTCAATTAATCAAGAAGTCCTAAAATCAAAGATAGAAGATACCTATTCTTAATGGTGATCTTGTTGGGTCCTCAATACTCTACACACATCCATAGAAATCCATCTTTTTTCTTCACAAATAAGATATGAGCCCCAATTACAAATTTAGAATGATGTATAAATTTTTTAATCAGATTTTTATCAATATACTTCTTGAATGCAACCAACTTGTTTTGTGATAGGCTATAGATTGGTCCAAATGGTAGTTGAGTCCTTTTGTGAAGATCAATGGAACAATCATAAAGACGATGCTTTGAAATAATATCTACATTTTTTTAAAAAAAAAACGTCTTATAAATCTTGATATTTGCTAAGAATATCACTTGACATCTTTTCACTATTAGAAATGGATGTGGCATATAAAGCAAAAAATAACCCTTTTTTTGCTGCATGCATAAAAGTTCTTGTACCTACCGGTAAGAATTTGGATGTACTAGATTTATGTATTTTTACTTGAATAACTGAATTTTGGATTAAACTATCAAAAAAATTAAGGTTATGAAAAATCCAATCCAATCTATCTATAGATTATACTTTTCTAACTAAGATAATTCTAAAATAATCAGATTGGATGGAGATCTTATTACATTAAATATTACTATGCTATTATGATTTTTAATTGCTATATCTAAAGGAATAGTCTCATGCATAACATCTCGAGAAGATAACAAACAACTATATATAATTTCTACATGTATAGGTTTAGCTTTTTTGACGAATAGTATCTCTTATTTTTTGATAAAGTCTTTGTCTATAAAATAGGTTAAAGCTCATGAATCTATCAAAGCTAAGACTTTGTGATTTTTTGATCCTAAACAAACTTTTATTGAAAAATAATGTAAAGAATCTGATGAGAAAATAAGACCTTTATTAAGAATTATGCAAGATTTCAGTCGCACGGTCCCTATTGTAGCTGGAGAAACTCATTTTTCAATACCTTGTCTTCTTTAGCAACCATGCTTCTCATTTTGTGATTACATTGCTTCTTTGAATAATATTGTATTGAAGATCAGCAAGTACTTCCTTAGTTACAACTACATAGAGATTAAGCATAGTATGTTGCTAATATTCAAAAGGCAACAAAGAGTTAAATGAAGTTACTTTGGTGGCACCTAGGATTTAGTTGGATGAAGTAGAAATGGATGTAATATCAAAAGGATGGAAGTTGCCTTATTGATAAGGAAACCACTACTTATAAGTAAAAGGTGTTGGAAATAAGAACTATCTTTCTCCACACTTTTTTTAGAGTATAATCCTTGCTAATGCTATTTGTCGTTGAGATAAGAGCTTGATCTTTGCTACTCTTTTTTGTTTATTTTCTCTAAATGTGGCCGTAAACACTTCTAAAATTAATTCAAATCATAAAAGAATTCTAAATCCTTTTCTATTAAAGATGCAAACGAAGAGAGAGCACTTCTTAATAGAAGTGCATAAGTGAATCCAACTTGAATAAATCCATTGAGATATTGAAAAGGATGCAAGCTAAGATAGAGCTTGGCTTATTAAAAAAATCTTCAAAATTTTGATCTTGTTCTATCAAACTTCTCAAGCATACTAATCCTTGTTCCCATCATACTTGTAGAAGTAAAATTCCTTGGATTTGGTTGTGATGTTGATCTACTTGTTTCCTTCAACTGCACAATTTCTTGCTATAGACTTTGAACTTCTTCCATAGGCATAGGTATAGTACCTCGATGATTCATGTTAGAAATATATGAGATTTTTATTTTTAGAGTGTTAATAAACTTATGAAGATCTATAATAATTGCAAATGTGTTCTCACTTCCATTGAGAATAGCATCCATAATCTTTCTTTCCATAGATAATTCAAACAAATTCAAAAAGTTAAATTAGAGGAGGATAATCTACATCTAATAAAATTTTCCACAAAAAAAGATAATCTACTTTATTTAAAGAAAAGATCACTGTTAAAAAATAAGATTTTTTTGTTTAAAGATAAATAGTCTGTAACCTTCCAAACACAACAATAGAAGTGGAATAATCCACTCACTTCTAAAACAAGACAAAAATAATAGGTTAGCACTCTTGACAAACTACTAAAGACATGAATCTTGAAAAAAAAAAATCCTCAATACATTCTTGTGTCATTGAAGAAAACTAAAAAGTCACTCAAAGGTGATGTAATATTAAATTAGAAAGAAAATTAGAAAGTCACTTTTACTTCTATATATACTCTTAATTAGAAGCTATATGGCGATGTCCTATAGGACCTCCAAAAATGTATTGACTTTATAAGATACGTATCTTAACTTGTAAGGTAAGTTTTCTATGTATGCACCACATAGTTAACTTGTTCCGCAAGCTACTAATACGTGGTTGACTTGTTGACCAAGTTTCTAACCTATCAATCAACTACAAACACATATAAAGTCAAAACAATATTTGTACAACTTCTAAGAAGCTTCTCTAAAAGGTATTATAAATTTAATCTATTTTTATCTACTTTTATCTACTTCTACCTAGTCATATAGGTATTTACTGGTATATCTATGTATATCCATGATATGTTATGTTAGAGAGAGCGAGGAATGGATCTCATAGTTGTTTAAGGCATTGTTAACGACACAAGAATCTCACAAAAAAATATGTCAAGATTAAAGAAAAAGAATGAAATTGGTAGAAAAAGTGGTTCCAAAGACTCCTATTTATACTATAATGAAGGTTACAGAAGTCTATGGTACTTTCTATGGAAGTTTCTAGAAGTCTAAAGAAGCTTCTAGAAGCCTATGGAACTTTCTAAAAGATTGTGGAAGATTCTACAAGTATTTAGAAGATTTTAAAAATTTATAGAAGATTCTAGAAAGTCCTAAAATGTGATAATTTGGAATATGTCTATGCCAAGAATTGTGATTAAAAATAGTACTTTTATAACTACTAGTAAGTATTAATGATATCATTAGATTAGTAATAATATTGTCATAGTAAATCTGATGATGATAGAATGTTGTAATATTAAGTAATTGATAGAATCCAAAAATTAGACACCACATTCAAAAAATTGTTTCAATACTACTCCAAATTAGATTGGTCATAGCTCTGCAATTATCTAATGGACTCTTTTCAACCTAGACTCATTTGGTAGCTATAAAGGAGTACTTTATTTGCTATACAAACCATTATTCACTACAATTCATCTGTAATGCACCATTCTTTCCAAAATATGTCAATATTGAAATAGTTTTTTGAGTCATTGTATATATATAAGAGAATGTTAAATAGATCCATGCTTTAACTAAATAGACCCACCTTTGATAGTCATGAATAATGTGGTTGGTTTTTATTAGTTGTATATCTAATAATAAAGAAATAAATCTAAAACTCATTATTTTTTTTCATGATGGTTAAGATAGGTGGATCAATTTAGTAAAAACTTGGATCTATTTAACATTCCACTATATTAATTTATATTTGTAGTAAACTCATAATACACTTTTTATTATTATTATTATTGGATAGCAATATATCTTTCCTCGATTGCTTCCATTGGTGATGCTAGGACTCACTCTATTTGCGACTCCATTTTGAGGAGGGAGGGCGTTGGTTGGTTGGTAGGTTTGTGCGGCAGCCAGCCAACACGCTTGGATGGAATTATCTACTTTGGTGTTCCACTTTCAATTGGGGCCTCCTCCACGCAAGATGACTGTGTGGCGAGATCTCGACGGATGCTTTGTGTGAAGCTGCCACTTGCTGCGCTCTCGCCATCTTGACAAATTACACACTCGCATCTCATTCAGGGCGGGAGGTACCTCGATGGATGATAATAGCGGGATCTTTCTTCACTTCCCTCGTTTTCTGAGTCGTTTTTCTTCATCACATCTCTTCATTTTGATACAAGTCACACTGTTTTGCTGGATGCAAATTTCCTTCAATTTGCTGGGTAACGTTGAGCTCAAGTGTTTGTTGTAGTGTAGAGGAGTTTCGCAGCGTTGGTGCACGTTGACGTTTCTTCAGGTGAGAACTTGCCCGCGGAATAGTTCCGTTTTTTCTGTCATCGTACTCTAATCGGAGGATGCATATTACATTAGGACTTTACCCAGGATCACGGTTGAATTAGGACGTTACTTGGAGATGTGTCGCCAAATCTAGGGTAACGGGGAATCTTGCTGAATTGAGATTGAACTAAGTTGATTGTTGATAAAATTTCAGCACTCGCATTGTACTAAGACTCAGACGTGTAACACTCAGCTGGTTAGAGAATGCGGAATTCCTTGACGAATTTGTGTTCTGTTGTGACGGACATGTAAGTGCGTGAAGCAGAGCAACGAATATATGAAGCCGCAGCCGTTCGTGATGACACAAGCCATACTCCAACCATCTGACAAGCTGGAAACGGAAGCAGTTGAAGTCTCGCCGCCCGGTCATGACAATGCGCAAGAAGGGGCTGCGAAAACGGTACTCACGTAAATCTGAATTGATTTCCTTCTTCGCTCCGCAGCTTGTTGCCAACCCATTTTGGCACGACCAGCTTTAGTATGTGAAGCTTTCCCAAGGCTTTACATTAGGCATGTAGTAGTTGACGTATCAACGCCTATTGCAACCTGAAATTGGATATGTAGTCTATTGTTGTCCTCGGTGGGAGTGATTTTCACCCGACTACCATGAGAGTTGCTCTTGCAGCACCAATATTGGTTTCAAAGTTGCAGCTCATTATGTTCTTACCATACATTTCTTGCATTTCCTGTTGTCAAGGACCTGAAACGGGACAGCAGCATTAGTGAGCGTGCAACACTAGGGTTACCCAAGCACTTAGAAGACTTGATACTTGCCCGTCTGTCCATTTCGGAGTTATCCAGAGTTCTCTGCGTCTGCAAGCGATGGAATTCACTCATCACGCACCCTCCCTTCCTAACCCTTCGGCAAGTGATCCAAGGCCCACACGAGGCAACGTTTTTTCCTGTAGTTTTCTGGAATGATGGGAAACCAAAACTGCGAATCTCTCGTTCTGGGAGCAAGCTCGAATCTAACGAAGACTTGGAGCCCATTTATCCTACATCCACATCGGCCAGTGCTAATTCTGGGCACGACCATGAACGTGCGACATGGTCATGGCTGGGGTACGACTCTTCAAGGCGAAAGTGGCAGGCTATGAAGCCCTTCATCACTCCAATTCATGTTAAAAACGTAATCACAAGCTCCAAGGGCCTCTTATGCTTACGGGGAGAGAATTCTTTGCTGGTTCTCAACCCCATGACTGGATCGCAAAGAGAGCTCCCTCTGAAAGAGAACGTCGTTCAGCTGGTGGTCGATGCAGAGTCGAATTCCTTCCAACTCATCTGTGCAGCGTCACGCAAAAGGACCAAGGTATACGACTCACAGACTGGAGTATGGACCAAGAGAGGCAGGCCATTACCGAACCTGGCCTTGGCAAATCACATTGGAGCGTACTGCGATGACGTGCTCTACTGCGTTGCCAGGGAGGAGAGGAGCGGCATGTGGGGCGTGACAAGTTATGATGTGAAGGATACAAGAGCATGGGGCAACATCATCTTCTTCCCATTGCAGACCTGCGAGACATGCTTGAAGGCCAAGGTGATCCAGTTCGGAGGCGAAATTTTTGCTCTTGTAGAAAAGGAGAATGACGAGGATGACATTGGCCCTAGGATGAAGAGTCTCTCCTTGTGGAAGCTGGAGAGGACATCGCTGAAATGGCGGTCTGCAGGGATAATGCCCACCCATTCACGCCAACACCTAGTGAATCTGGACGACTTCGACTGCGTGGCGTTGAACGACCGAATCTGTGTTCTGAACAAGAGCACTTTCAAGGCTGTGCTTTGTTTCATCTCCGATGGTGTTGTTAAATCATGGGAGCAGTTTCCTCTTGATTCTTCGATGTTAACATTCCTCTCCGATACCGACAAACCTTTCGTTGAACGCTCTATTGTCCAGTTTGCGTTTGAACCCAACTTGTTGATGTCACTTTAGACGATGGTTTTACGTAGCAAAATCATTCTTTCCGTCACAAAGTTGAAGATTAGTGTGAGGCGATTTAGATTGTGGGCATTAGTTATCTGAGATGGTACATGTGAATTTAGAAGAAGGATCACCACTCCTTCCTGTTTTCTAGATTTATGGCTGCTGATTAATGCCATAGCTGTTGGCGCGCCTGTTGCGTGACAAAGAGTTCATACTTCTGTATAAATCACTATCTCTCGACTCACAACAGATATTCTGCTTCTGAACTTAGTTTTGTTGAATTGATAATATTAGATATAATAACAATAATAATAATAATAATCTAGAATCCCACACATTATAAATCCAATCTCAATCCATGTTAATGGCCCACGAGCAGAACACCGTACTGTCACTAGACAAATAAATTGTTACGTTACACAACAATTATAATCAATCATCAGCTAATTGTTGAACTGTTCTATTCTTTGAGTATTCCGGACTGAAGAGAGTACTGGCAAACTCAAGGTCTTTTACAGTTCACCCATCCACACACAGTTAGCATTACAAAGTGTAAAAGAAATTTACCATTTACAGAAAAGAATTTAAGAAATAATCATGTGAACAAAAAACTTCACTAATCTAAGAAACAAGTTACATGACTAAGTTCATCGTGTTAATTACACCATTCTGAATATATCATTTAACAATGAGATGGTAAAAAAAATATAATGACAAATCAATGCGGGGCAAACATCTGATATACACGTATTGAGAAATCAATCAAGAATGTTGACAATGTTTCACGAATTAAGACATTAAGCAGCTTGGTCAATATTAACTCCAAATAATGAACAGACTCAGTTAACACCTCGTCGGAGTTGATAACAAAGCTACATTCGCGATGACTAGTGCCCAAACTATGCACCAGGAACAGCCTCAGCAGCCGGTTCGTCTCCAACTGGCCTCTCAATCTTTGCACCGACCTCTTCGCTGTAGTCTCCATGAACCTACATACGGCAAAACATCTTGTAAAACAAACACAAAAACTGCTAAATTCGTAAGCCTAAAAAGCGAACAAAAAACAAAAAAAACAAAAACAACAAAGAAGAAATACAAAATCCCGTAACAATTCATCTGTACTACAAAATTGAACAAACGAGTAAAACGTACTTCCATCAACTTCATGAGGTCGAACTTCGGAGCCTTCAATATCTTCACCTTCCTGATGAACGTGTTCTGCAGCGGGTAGATCCCCTGCGTTGCCTTCTCGATCTCCTTCCCGATCACCTCCGGGATGAACTTCGCCACCAGCTCCTTCAGGTCACAACTCTGCGCTTCCCGCGTCATTATCTCCCTCATCTTCCGCCTGATCTGACGAATTTGGCTGCTCTGTGCATAACATGTCTTCTTGATCTGGTTCGGCCTCTTCTTCGTGAATGCAATGCAGAATATCCGAAGCATGTAGTTGTCTGTCGTCTTCACATCCACGTGTGACTCGATCAGACTCTGCCACTTCCGCACCAGCGACCGCAGCTTGTCCGTCGTCAGGTCCATGCCCTGCATCCATTCACGCACCCACCTCTTACCTTCTGCCTCTTATCACCACCCCTTCCACAAAAACAATGCCACCTCCCCTGCTGCTCTCCGTAACTACTACAACCCACTAATCCCCTCTTCCTTCCTCCCTTCCTTCCTTCCTTCGTTGCGCCCACCACCCTCTCACCTAATTCAACCCACACTCACACTCACACCCCGTCGCACACCACGTACCCAGAAGTTCGTCAGCACATTCTTCCCCTGCACGTCCTCCGCCCTCAGCTTGATCTTCCGGAAAGCCTGGTCCTCGTCGTTCTGCAAGTCCGCCAGCGACACCTCGAACACGCGCCCCTTCAACCCATCGGACGCAATCTGTTGCGCCCCACGCAACACCCCTCTCGTCAACCCCACAATTCTTCCACCACATTCGCACCCAATCAATGCTGCGTGCACCCTACGTCCACTCAATTCACCGCCACCATGCACACACCCCGACCCACCCAGCAGCATGCTCTTACCTTGGTACCCGCGGTCCTGGTCACCAGGGTCTTCCCCAGCGACTTCTGCGTGAAGGTGTTGGGGGCCTTGATGTCATACCAATCCTTCTTCGAGAAAGGATCGACACTGCATTACATCCCACCGTCCTCCGCGTCAATGCGTGGAAACAAACACAAACCTCGAAACCTAAACTCAAACCAGCGCAGCAGGACAGCGAATTAGCCATTCCTGTAAAGAGAAGGAGAAGGAGAGCGCTACATTTTCTTCTTGCCTCCCTTCTTTCCCTTCGAGATACGTTTATTCTTGCCGACCGCCATGGCTGCACAATGCTAATGGCCACGAGAGAGCTTCCCTGCAATTGCCAAATCGAAAAAGAAGACATCATGAGCTTCTGCGCCAGTTTACCCATTCCGCTTCCCGCTGGAGGAGCCCCAAACCCTAATTCCGATGACCCGTTCACACTGCCGGCTCATGATCCCAGTTCAGTCTCATGGGATAGCACTTCTAATGAGGTTATTATTTTTTTTCATAATTTTTCATTTTCGCTTGTGGATGGCTCAGTGGTGGACGTGTTCCCAATTTTATGGTCTTCAAGATTCTTCGATGAAGGTATTCTTTCCCAATTTGTGGTTCAAGTTCGAATTTGTAACATAATATCATTTATCTGAATATTGAAGTAGATGGAATTCTACATGTAGTTGTTTAAATATCGCACACATGGGAACCTGAATTTATTGTCTTTTTGGCCAATCTACACCAATATTCGTAATTAATATTCTCCACAATATTTGCAAAGTTTGGAAACAAAACAATCACTTCATTGTGTAGCTTCTTCAGATCTTTTGTTCCCTTTAAACCCAATGGTTGAACCTTTTTTTCCATTGAAACCCAATTGTTGGATCTTTCTGTGGTTGCATTTTGCATGTCAATATTTACATCAGTATCCAAATAGTGCAGTACACATTAATTACAGATATATGTGTGGTTTGATATAGATTGTTGTTTATGTGATTGACTTGCATTTCCTTGTAAGATGTGATTGTAAATGTCATGCATAGTACAAAGAGTTGTATGCATGTGTGATGTGACGAACAGTGTATGATCAAATGGAAAACATTATGTGTATGAATGTGTGTGTGTGTGTGTGTATATGTATGTATATATATATATATATGATTTTCTTTTAGCATATATTCATGTAAAAACTTCATATATTAAAATTGTATAATATACATGTTCTGATACATATGCTCAATCAAAATCTACCAAAAAACATGATATTAAAGTAATATGAGGACAATTAATATCTTAACATAATACACACACTTATCATGTAAGGAAGGAACATGCAGAATGACATCTATGTATTAAAATCATTTAAGGAGACAAGACATGGTTCTCATTTATTGCATGCATCCTTCTTTGTTTTCAACAAAAAGCTTCATATTCTATGGAGTTTACAACCCGTTTTATAGTTCAATGAGGGCATTTTACAATTCTTCAAAAATTAAGTAGTAGACCGCAAGGATGGCATGCCTCTCTCTACTTGTTTCATGATTGCTTTTAGCACAAGTACTCTACCTATTGATGTAGCCAAATTCTACTACATGCATTCAATGGCTTTTGCCTATGGCGGCTTACTTCTTTAGGTGTTAATTGCTGGTGCTTTTGATTGTGTGATGGGCTTCAGTGTACAAGATTTGAGTGTAGATTGTAAGTATGAAGTAGTCTTTTTATTAGAAGGCTTCATGCTCGAGATCGACTTCCATTTTTGCATAGACTAAGCCTTGAATGAGTTTCAAATGTCTAAAAGATCTCTATAGAATTGGCAATTAAACTGATGGTGTTTCTAATCAATCCATTGATGTTATAAGCTTCAAAGTAGATTCCAAATAGTTAAAATAAAGGCATGTGGCATAGATGTGAATTTTGCCACTGTATTGTCACTACAACCTAATAGATATGCTACAATAAAATTTAAGTTCAAGCACATAATTTTCTCATTTTATTATCTATCAATTATCTTCTGTAAACTAGTATGAATTTTTGAGTCTTTGATATGCATGCAATTCTACACAATAGCTAAAAAATTGCACTAATGAGAATTAATATTCAATCAACACTTCAAATCGAGGTTAACACTATCAATCATTTGCAAGAGTGATCTCTTCTATAAGTCTATTTACTTTTTATGTTACAATATGAAACCAAGTGCTCTCTACAAATGCTAATTCTTAGTCCTTGTGTTTGTTGAAACTCTTTTCATTGGTAATTTTTTTTTTTTTAATGTATCTTAGAGAAAAGTTTTAGGAATTACGAATCTACAACAACAACAACTTGGAATGTTAATCTTTGAATATAGATTGTAAGTGAAATGGGACTGGATTATTTATAAGATTTAAGATCTTTCCAATCTATAGCAAAATAAATTCTATCACAATATAGGATAGAATAAACTACAACTAAATTAAACAGAACTAAACAAAATGGAACATGATAGATAAATTAGACCAAAAGAAACAAAAAAAAGTATAAAAAAAAGTATAAAATCAAACTTTATTAAAAAAAAAAAAAAAAAAAAAAGATATCAAAGCCATACCTAATTGGATAACCAAATGGCCCAGCTAGTCTTATTTATACTTTGTTCAACTATCTTGGAACTTTTTAGAATGTTCTTAATAATGAGCTCCACTCAAATAACCACCTTAAGTCCTTTTTAGAATATTTTATGATAGATCCTACATAAACCACCAATCTAGCTCCAATTCTAAATACTTCTAAAAATTTCTAGAAACTTTTCAAATATGGTTCTTACTATCTATTTCTATGTGTCAACAACACATATATCTTATCTATATAACATTACAATTAATCTCCTTCTACTAATGCAAAATGTCCTTGCTTTACTTCCAATGGTATCTCCAAATTGTTTCTTAACAATAGGTGATGATTGTGTAGGTTCTTATGTTGCATCATGGATGGAATTAGCTTTTCAAAGGACTTTGTACTAAAGTTGTAGATGTCCATTGCGACATCAAAGGTAGTAATGCTCTAAAAAGTTGTTTATTTCATATTCTTCTTGGTCATCAATCACAACTAGTCGTAGTCGTGGTGGTTGATATCAATCCAAAAAGTACCTTGGTTCAGCATGAAACTCCTTGAATTGCTAAACATGAAAGATCGAATAGACTCAAATATGTGGCAAAAGTTCAAGGCAGTATGTAATATTAGAAATCCCTATAAAAATGCAAAAAGGTCTAAGCCACTGAGGTGCTAGCTTACTGATTTGGATTGATGTAGCAAGTAGAAATTTAGCATTAGAGAGTAAGACTTGGTCACCCTCTCAGAAGGTCTTATGTTATAAATGGTTATTTGCATACTACTTTTGTCAATTTTATGAAGTAAAGTGGTGGTATCAAGTCTCCTACAAGGTTGTTGTAAGCTATTAAATAAACTCTTTTGTTCTTGGATTTTTGATGTTAATGAGATGATAGAGTTGCTGACATAATCAAATATTGATTGTTATTAAGGAAGAATAGCGAATGACCAATACTTGCTTGAATACTATCATTGTAAGTAAACTCCAAAGGCGTTAAATATTCATCCCAGTCATTATGATGAACCACCACAAATGATTGTAGCATATCCTCCAAGGTCTAATTTTCATACTCTATTTGTCCATTTGTTTGAAAATAAAAGGCTATAAACATGGCAAGTTGTGTACCAAATAGCTTGAATAAGTTGTGCTAGAAACTTCTCATGAAACATGGATCTCCACCTGAAACAATGACACAAGATAATCCATGGTGATGAAAGATAGTATCAAAGAAGATTTATGCAAGTACTAAGACATCAATATTTGAGCGCATTACAACCAAGTGAAGTTGCTTCAAGAGTTGGTCCACAAAGATAGCAATTGCAATGTAATTATGAAGTGTTTGTAATAAATATATAATAAGATCTATAATCACTTATTTCCAATATGTTATAGGTAATGGAATTGGCTGTAATAATTGAAAAGATGTTGTGTTGCATGCTTTGTTACGTTATCATGATTAGCAAGAATACACAAAATTTCAAATATTATAATTTAAATCTATATTGAGATCTGTTCTAAAATCTTTTCATGCCTTAGATGTTTAGATATTAGAATGTCATATCTTTCTTAAAGTATGTGCGTTTAGAGTATAGCATTGTTAGGTATATAAATCTACTTCTTGAAATAGAGTAAGCTATCATTAAGATGATAATTTTGATATTGCACAATGTCCACTTTCAATCAATTGATAATCATTTTAAAATAAAAATTCCTATGCATAGCTTCTTTCTATTTTGCTTTTCTAGTTAGGTTTAAAATGACACTACTCATGGTAGCAACTTTTGTCTTGTTCATTGATTTGGGCTTCAAGTTTGATTTATATAATAAGATATTCAGTATAATATGTTGTCATTGTTGCTTGTATTCAAGTTGAATGTTGAAGAGCTACAATTATTCTTTCTAATGACAATATTATAATTTCATATTTTTTAGATGTAAATTATATAGCAAAGATCAATGTTCCGTCCAAACAGTGACTAGCTTTTTCAACAGATAATATTACTATATCTTTGTAGCATGTATAATTACTAATTATTCTCAATCATGTGTAGAATAATTATGTCCTATCCTTTTAAGCTTGTATGATTCATATACCATATATTAAAGGCCTCTACCAAAGTCTTTTTGAAGGATTGTGTTAATAGCATAGACAAAAGTATCAATGTCAAGTATATAGGAAAAATTGAGATTATACAATTGTAATATTGAAGTAATAATAAAAGCTCCCTTTAACTTATCAAAGGCCCTTTTTTGCTCCAATTTCTATTCAAATGGGGTATCTTTCTCAAATAGGCTTGTTAATAATGCAATAATGTGTACAAATTGCTAACTGAATTGGTGATAATATCCAGCAAGGCCTAAATTGAATGACTACAAAAGCATCATTGGAAGTTGGCCATTCTTCCATCCCTTTTACTTTATTCTACTCCATGCATATGCCTTTAAAAAATATGACATGCCTCAAAAAAATGACTTTCAACTTATAAAGTTCTTACTTTGATTGCTTGCATTAGAAACAACTATCTTATAGTCAGCATAATACTTTTTATGAATATTGTTCATGTTTCATATGAATTTTACTATAAATTAAGATATTATCAATGAAAACAACTACATACTTCTCCAAAAGGTCTCAAAATAATTAATTTATGTAATTCATGAAAGAGACTAAAGTATAAGCAAGGTCAAAAGATAAAATAAGCCATTCAAAATGTCCATAGCGCTTATAAAAGGTCATCTTTTTTACATCTTTTTTTTCAATAGATATTTACCAATAGCCACTTCAAAGGTCAAATTTATT